AATTTACGAAAAGCTTTTTGTAATATTCCGTAAAAATTAACGAAATCTTTTGATGTAAAAAAATTTCGAAAATTTCTACAAAAATTTTTGCAAAATTTTACATCAAAAAATTTCGAAAATTTACGAAAATTTATGGAAATTTATGCAAAAATTTATGAAAATTTTACATTCTGAAAACTTACGGAGTTATTCATCCTTAAAAATTTTCTGATGTACTTCTGTTAAGTGTGTATTGTTTTGAAGTGAAAAATTTACTTTTGAAAGTTCTACTATTGTTTTTTTGTGCAGATTGATGAGATCTTCAAGCAGAGAATATTTGGCAAATTTGAATTTGTAAAATTTGTAAAAGTGTTTCATACATTATCTGGTGAATTGGTTATAATTGAATTCTGTTCTATTAGGCTTTTTATATGGTGATAGGATAAAGCTAACTGTGTATATTATGAGTTGTGTCATATCTCTTCAGTTTTTAAAGAAATCTATACTATATAAATAGTACCATATAATTTTTGTTCTCAAGTGATCTTGTAACTCACTATGAAGTATACCTGCCACCCAAATTCAAAATCCAAATGCCAAAATCCCAAATGCCAAAATCCCAAATCCCAAATTCCAAATTATGATTAATATTTTTTGTCGAAATCCCAAATCCCAAATCCCAAATACTAGTAATTTGGGATTTTGGTGTCCCAAATTCCAAATGATTTGGGATTTGGGCAACACGTATACTATGAAGTTGGGAAAAAATAATTTCTTCCTTATTAATGTTGTTTTGTCTTTAAATTGTGTAATTTGTTTTTCTAATAGTGTAAACCATTCTTTTATATAATCTGGAGTATCTTCTAAATTGTTTAGTGGTTTACAGATTATAACTTTATCTTTGTTATACTGTAAGAAGAAGGTTCTTAATGCTTTTTTTTCGAAGGGAACTATACTTCTTTCAAGATTTGTTAAATAGTTTAACAATATTAGGGCATTTCTGGATTTAATCAAATATTATATATAATTGTATATTGTGATTGGTGGTAAATTATAGATGGAATCTTCTAGGTTATTCTCTGGATTTTGGTTTTGTGTATTGTTATACATTGTGTCTAGGAATCTTTGTCTTACTATTGATATTTTATTTGCATTAGTTGCATGTTTATTTTGTATTTCTTGCATCTCAAATCAGTTTTGTATTTTATTGACATGTTGTGTAACTGGTTTTCTTTGTTTATCGGCTAAATTATTTACCTGCTGATCATTTTTAAAGGGTGAGAAAGCTACACATTTTTTTGGAGGCACAGGAGAGTTTTTGTGAGAAGAGTTAGAAGATGTATCTAGTGAAATATAGTTTGTATTTTCTATAATGATGGTTTCTTCTATCGAGTTGATAGCATTAATATATAGTTCTTGATCTTCCTGGTTGAGTATTATGTTGTCTTTACTGTTTGTAACTTGTTTTATTCTTTTATGTTATAGATAGGAAGAAATAATATCAAAGGTTTGGGTGACAGCTGTAATTCTTCTTGTATTATAAGAGATATTTATACTGTTGAAAGTAACTAGTACTGCATGTTCAGGGTTGTCAATAATGTATTCTAAGAAAGTATTTTGTTCTTGTTGCTTTAGGGTTGTGAAAAGAAAAAATGTGAAAAACTCTTTAACTTTGGGAAGTGTTGTAGTTTTTTGAAAAATGTCATGTTTCATAACTTTGTTTGTTTTTTGATTTTTCAAAAAGAGAACTGCTAGAGCTTTGGGTGTTGTAGTATTTTCTTCAGGAGGTTGAACTCCTAAAAAAAAATTTTTGTCTCTTGTGTCCATATGATTTTTGAATTTTTTGAATTTTTATTTTTCAATTTTTGTCAGATGCAGGAAAGATTTTTTTTTTCCTTTAAACAATAATAATAGTGCAATACTTACTTGTAGCCATGGTTACCATGTACTTTGTTATAAGATTGGTATATTTGAGAATGTAAATTCATTCTTGAAAAGGCTTGAAAAGGGTTCTGAAATACTTACTCAAGAAGATTTTGATAATGTTGAAATTGAAATTGAGGAGGAGGAAGAAACAGAAGAGATAGAAAGTGAAAAAACAGATGTATCATCTTTATTAATAGATGCAATTAATAAAATAGAAAGTTGGTAATAAAATTATATGAAAAAAATAAATATATCATTTACTATAATATGTAATTGTATTTTGTCTTTGAAATTCGTAACTTTGCAAATTAAATGATCTCAAAATGATATCCACCACAAAACGATAGAATAGCAAGGGAAAAAACGTTTCATGGTAAATGGTCACGTCCTTCATGTGACACATTATAGGCAAACGTAAAAACATACGAATTTCTATATGTAAAATTCGTGTAACATGACGATCAAAAAATGAAATTCTGTTATGCTTGATTTTCCTGATTTCCCTGATAATAATCGTAATAAACGTATTTTAACTTGGAAATACGCGACGCTTGTCACCAAATTATTTCGTTTTCTGAATATACTAATGTCTATTACTTCCTCCCCCACTGCAACTGGAAATGACCCGATCACGTTTGTCGATGATATTAAAAAATATAATACGGACGATCTCGTCGATTTTTTACAAAATGCTGACTTAGAACTCGACGAGGATGACCTGAACGTTATTCGCAATAAAAAAGTCACTGGACGCGTCTTTCTTAAGTTAACTGAAAACAAGTTGGTAGAATGGGGATTGCCAGGTGGTTCAGCCTTAGTCATCGCAGACTTGGTTAATGTACTCAAAAACAAAGAGAAAGGTAAGTACCTACACTGCTTATCGCACATACGTTGACAGAAACTTATGCTATTTCTGTTATACAGAACCTCCTAATAAACGGATGAAAGTTGAGAATGCCGATAATGTTGAAGATTTAAATGTCAGTATAATCTTTATTTGACCATATTTCTTGGCATCATACAATACTCTACGCCTGTATGGACCTGTCCATTTATATGGACCCCTGCAGCCGATGCTTGGAAAGAGGGCCTTGCACGCCTACTAGGACTTACGTTGTAAACCTTCTAGTAAATCCGTGTGACATACTCTTTCCAGTGTATTGGACACTATGGGATTCCTATGTTCGTATGGACCTGTCCATTATGTGGACCCCTGCGACCAATGCTTGGAAAGAGGGCCTTGCACGCCTACTAGGACTTACACTGTAAACCTTCTAGTAAATCCGTGTGACATACTCTTTTCCAGAATCCTATTTTGTCAATGCCATTATTGCGTTCCCTTGTTATGTTTACTTTGTTATGTCTCTATCGTATTAAATTACTCTGACTTTCTATAGATGAGCATTTCAAATGGACTTGCTTCCTATTTCCGTGCAACTAATTTTGATAAATGGAATCACATTAATTGCTTAGAATATTTAGCGAAAGTGTGCAGAAATCTAGTATCAGATGACCGTACTGAGATTATAAATCAATACAAAGCTCAACTTCGTTCAATAAGCTCATATCCATGGACGCTTCAAAAAGCAAGGAACAAAGCTAATAAGATGGAAGAATGTGCCGAAAATTCATTCAAGCGCAAAGATACTTTATCGTTTTTTGAACGACTAGATATACAGGCATGTTTAATTTGTATATATAATTTACATGCCGTATATGAAAACTAATTAATTTGATAGGCCGACACAGATGCCACCTACAATCTCGTAAACGGCACTAATGAACTTGTAAATGCGAAAGGGAACCTGTTTGAGTCAAAGTTGAAGGTCAGCACGTATAATAAGATTATCGAGTCAGTACCAGATGAAAATCCGATGGCAAGTCCCACCGAATTTGCTAATAAAAGGAAACACAATGAGAAAGAAGATACATTTAAGACACCACCACCCACATCTCCGAATAAAGACTCTCTTCTTAGTACTCCAAATAAGCGTCAGATGTATGATGAGAATGTTATTACGCAAGTTTGTGCATTCACATCAGGAATCTGATTTTAGAGCAACTTAATTTATATTATATTATATGTTAGGTACCTTAACGCCATGGAGAATTCATTAAAGCATACTAAAGTTACTGTCCAGAAGCCTTCATTGTGGACGGAATCTTTAAAAATTTATATTGACAATGTTTTGAAGGTGCGTTCACAGATATTAGTCAGTGTTATTGAAAGATAACAGATTGAACATTTTTGCTACCTACTTATAGAAATCAGGGGATGAGTTTAAAGCGGAGATCATGCGTAAAATCGAGGGCGACGAAGACAACAGAATTCGCCTTTACTGCGAAAAAGTTTTAATGGACTTGTGCGTTTTTTATTTATTGTATTGTAGTTTTTAAATGACTAAACATTTACTCTTGCTTTCCGATTTCAGCTACAATCTAGTAGATATATTTCCAAATCTATCAAGAAGAATAGGTGAAAGAAAATATATTGTACAAAATATTTCCTCATTATTTAAATATTATGAATCCACCTTTGGAAATTTATGTTTCAACTGGATTGAGTCACATTCGCCAGCATCAAAATTAACAAAATCACATACTAGTTCAGGTATTGTCAAGGTGGATGCGAGAGGTAAGCAATAAATGTTTATTGATAATTCCACCTTATCATTCAACTATGATTCTTAAATATTCCAATCAACTCTGAAAGGTGTCCGGTTATTTGATGATAAGGAAATTTTTCATGTAGAGGTATCAGGAGTAATACGTAAAGGTGTGGAGTCCGGTCAATCACATGAGTGGTGTACACCCTAAAAACTGAAGTTGAGTACG